CACATACACAGAGGTCAGATGGAAAACACAGCTAATGATGTAAAGTTTTCCTAATCTAATACCACATGGGAACTGTTCACATACACAGAGGTCAGATGGAAAACACAGCTAATGATGTAAAGTTTTCCTAATCTAATACCACATGGGAACTGTTCACATACACAGAGGTCAGATGGAAAACACAGCTAATGATGTAAAGTCTTCCTCATCTGATCCCACATGGGAACTGTTCACATACACAGAGGTCATGTGGAAAATACAGCTAATGATGTAAAGTCTTCCTAATCTAATTCCACAAGGGAAAGGGAACTGTTCATATACACACAGAAGTCAGATGAAAAATACAGCTAATGATGTAAAGTCTTCCTAATCTAATACCACATGGGAACTGTTCACATACACAGAGGTCATGTGGAAAACACAGCTAATGATGTAAAGTTTTCCTCATCTGATCCCACATGGAAACTGTTCACACACACAGAGGTCGGATGGAGGACAAAGATAATGGAGTAGATAATCCACAGTTAGTCCAAGAAGGGCAACAAAAACTGAGCTTTTTTCCCCTCTAATTTATAGAATCTGTTTAATTTTTTTTTTTGTACTTCATTATATCAAAATGAAATATATTGTTAAAGGTCTGACTAGTTTTGGTAACATGGTTACCAATGTCAGGGCTAGTGACTACATTAATCTTTAACTGTGCCAAGAAAATGTTTTGTTTTTTTATTTTTAATATAACAGCACAAGGTGCCTGAAAAAAAACTTCTATGGCACTGATCAAGATCAAAATAATAAAATTTATGGATCAGTTTTATATTTTATAAAACATTTCATCAATATCCAGAATACAAGTTTAACTGTGCTGATATTCTGCTTTTACTCACCTAGTTATTCAAAAACTAACAGCAATTTTAAATTTGAATAAAATTTATAAAGATTCTATCTTTTAAAAATTTATTTTAAATATAACTAGGCATACATTTAAAAAAAAAAATTATAAAGATTCTATCTTTTAAAAATTGATTTTAAATATAACTAGGCCTAGCATACCAAACTACTAAAAGTTTTTGTCTTTCTTAACGACTGTACCGTGCACTGTAGAATATTTTTACCACTGGTACGTTTTACCTATTCTCAACTGTTACACTTTCCGCACTTCAGTTTGAGAATGGCAAACCTTAATAAGGTCTTTAATGGTTACCACAACATAGTAGGCACAATTTTGTGATACTTATTATACACACACAGCACGACTAAGTATGATCCTGTTTCAAATGAATACGTTTTGACCAATCATTGTCTACTGCCCGTGTATAAGGCAGCTTAAGCATTTCTTATAATCAGCAAAACCATTAATATTTAATTTTAAACAGGCATATATGAATAATCAATTCTCCACTAATGTGACTGGAAATGAAGGAATGAGACTAATATTTCACTAAAGTGAAGATGAAATATAGAATAGTACAAAAAAACACCAACCTGCTGAAGTAAAAGAATATATGTAACAAATAATAAGGATCAGAAAAAAAAGAGACTTTATTAGGCAAATGCCGTAATCAAAATACACTGAAAAAGCATGTCATTCCATGCAGAATTAAAATATAGAAGTAGATTTAATTTTTAAACGACTGTTTAAATCACAACCTACTAGTAAAAATCCAACTGATCATCAGAGCATCAGGTATAATTATTCCATTTACTATACTACAAATTTTATTCATAGCAAAAGTTTAAATTAGTCATTGTTAATCAAGTCTACAGGTAGTACAAATATTAAACCTATCATCTTCAGCAGTGTTCTATTACAAAACAGCATCAAGCTCGTCGAGTTAATTTTTACACTACCTTGTAGCTTTATCAGAAAATCAATGTACCACCCAATGGTTGTCACTACTATGGCCATCAAGTATTCATTAAATCTCAAACAACAGCCCTCAATGAAACATCAAACACTACTATATTCATGTTATTAAAACAGAAACCCTCAATGAAACATCAAACACTACCATATTCATGTTATTAAAACAACAACCCTCAACTGAAACATCAAACACTACCATATTCATGTTATTAAAACAACAACCCTCAACTGAAACATCAAACATCATGTATTATTAAAACAACAACCCTCAACTGAAACATCATGTATTGTTAAAACAACAACCCTAATATAAAAGTGTGGTTATTTTTTCCCCAAGACATATACAATCTTGTTCATTTTACTGGAGCGTATAAAAACATTTGATAAAAATATTTAACTATTATTCTGTTCCTCTTCACTAAATCTGTCATTAATAGGTTTTCAGTGATTATCTGATAAGTTCATTTGGTCGTTAATAAAAGACTCACCATCCTTTGGGATTCCTGGTTCTCAAAACCTTGCACAATTTTTGTGTCTTTTCAAAGAAAAGTGGACTGAGGAGCTATCTTACTGATTAACTTTTCCCTGCAAGTTTCATAATTCTGACAGATTGGTAAAACACAGGTTTTTGAATATCTTCCTCTGCTGATAAATTTGGTAATTTTCCATAAAATAATCCAAACTTACATTGTAATACTAATAAAAGCAAGAAATAAATAACTTTCACACCAACTAACTAGTCAATGTAATAACTTGGTCAAATGATCTTTGCTCTTGCACCCAATGCAAATATTGTATATTTATTAACATAACATTTAAGAACAACAAAAGGCCTGTTGGTCCATCCACTAAACTTTAAAATGATAATAAATGCCTCAAAATCAGCCCTTATCATTTAAATATTTATCAAGCTTTCTCTTAAACTCGTTTAAATTTACTGCCTCCACAACATCTGAAGGCAACCCATTCCAGAGGCCAGCCACCATGTTAGAAAAACAAAATAGTCTTAGCTGAATATGACTCCTACCCTGCCAAAATTTATGTTTGTGTCCCCTAGCCTTACCATTCTCATCATTAGGTGAAGAAACAGATGTCTTGACATTATCAATTTCCTTAACAATTTTAAACACCTATTTTAAGAGTTCTTAACCTGTACTTGTATTACAACCTTTCCATCCCAGGTATCATCCTAGTAGTCCTCCTCTGAGCTCTTTCCAACAATTCAATATCCTACTTAAATTAAGGAGCTCAAGACTGAATCCAATACTCCAAATGAGGCCTAATCAGTATCTCATACAATAAAATTATAACCTCTTTAGAAGTTACATTCAATAAGTGGTGAAAAAAACCACAGTAAACGGAACAAACTGTCAGACGTCTGATACCAGAGAAACTAGTTTCAACACATTCGTGCATCCTCTTCAGTCTCTCATTGTCTTCTGGCAGGAAAAAAACTGTTGTACTTTACTAATTGCTGTATACGATATTGTGTTCTTTTATTATTATTATTATATTCAATACTTCTGTAAATACAACTTAAAATCCTATTTGTCATTTTTCATGTATTTGCGAAAAATCACCAATTAATCTAAATTCTTTTGGAAAGCAGCAGCCTACTTCTTACATTCTGCAACATCCAAGACATTAATATCATCAGCAACTTTTTATCAATTATTTCTTCATTTTTGTCAGTGATGTAAGTCAAAAAAGGGCAAAAGTCCTAACACTTCACCCTGAAGTAATCTACTCATGAAATGAATCCAGTTTGACTGAATCCTATTTATAATACTTCTCTGCTTTCTTCTATCCAACCAATGCTCTATCCAGTCAGCCTACTTTTCCCACACACCTATAATATTTTAACAAGTCGTCTGTGTGGCACCTTGTCAAATATTTTCTGAAAATAAAGATATGCCAAATCTACACCTTTATCCTCATCAACATAAGTACTAACTTCTTCAAATAACATACAAAATTAGTAAGGTAATATTTTCACCTAGTGAAACCATGTTATTTACTACTACAAAGCTAATTTGCACCTGCTGCAAATTAGCTTTACGTATGTAGTTACACTCATGAAAATAAACTAGTAGCACTTTTCCAAACTGAAACATATTTTACCTATTGGCTTTTTAATCTATGCAAGCTAAGAACCACAAATGTGTGAGATCTTTAATATATTTTAGATTTTATTCACACAAAAGTGACCAAATCTACACCATGTTTGTAATTTTTACCTTTATCATGTTATATTTGTTCATGTTAATTTACTTTATTTTTTCCTTCAAAAAATCTATAATACTTTTCTACTTTTTATGCTTGAGCTATTAATTATATTAAACATTGTTTATCCTAATATTATTAAAATATATTCCAAAAATCTCTTTCATTACATTTAAAAAATAAGTTAATACCCGTGACTTTAGGGATATTAATGTGCAACATAAAGTTAAAAAACTTAAACCAACGTTGGTAAATTGAATAACATTGAAAGAATATTTTTTTAATTTCTATCACAGTTCTATAAGTAACAAAACATCAGCTTAACTTTATTTTAAATACCTTGGAATGCATCGTTGACGTTGTCTACTTTTATCATCTAACTCAAACTGTCAGTGTTACTAACACTAACGAACAGTAGATCCAACGTTGTAATTTGTAAATATAATGCTAACACTTAACTTTGTAGTAGTACTAAACTACTATTTTTGAGACTGTGTAGTATTTTAATAAATTTTACTTTTTAATATTATACTTTTAAACAGTATTGCCCATGAGTAGATCATGTAGATTACAAACTAACAATATAAAAATTAAATGTCACTACCCACGATTTACTTGTTTATTGCTAGTGATTTCAGAAAATATACAAATTAAAATGTAATATTAAGACTATTACATAACTTTTGACGTTTTACTTCTATCAACACCAATTTTTAATAACGTGTGTTGTTTTCACGCAAGGCCTATTTTATGGTCACTTTAAGGGTTAATACCAAACGCAACAGCGACGTCACTAGGATATTTATTTCTAATCCATATACAAAACTAATGCTTAATAATTAATCTTTTTTTTTAACCAAGTTTTTTCAGTTTTCATTTACGCAAAAATTATAACATTTAAAAATAATTATCGGAACAAAAACAAGTGGTGTACGGATACATAAAAATGTTATACCTATATTTTATAATATGACTATTAAACAGAATGAAATACTCTGAAAAATGGCTAAAGCGACCGGTAAAAATAATAATTAAGGTTAGGGTAAAAATGCCTCCCAAACACTGGATCAGTAGTAAGACTCTGGGTTTATGACGTTAAAAATCGGGTTTCGATACCCGTGGTGACCACGGTACAAATATTTCATGTTTGGCTTTGTGCTTAAAAACAATCAAACAATAGGTAAATGTTTTTGAAATATTCCCTACCCCTTGAGTTATCAACAAGACTTAAGTATGTAACCGAGCTTTCAAGAGTAGAAAATTCCTATTTTGAACCTGAACACACCTTATGTGCACGTGGGCTAAATGACAGTCAGTAGCACTCACCATCCATAGAGGTATGTTGAGTTGTTTGAACTGAAAAACAGAATCGATCATCACTTTTATAGTGCGAAGCGTATTCAGCGGCATCTGGTCTCGAATCCCAGACCTTTCAATTCACAACTTGATACGATATAATTTATCGCAACCCCGGCATATGTGAATGGCTGAAAATGACGATATGTGCATCTGCTAATAAATAAGGAATAGTTCGTTATGTGTAAATGAAAATACATTGCTCAGTATATATCTTTTGGAATAAATGAAAATACTGACACGAAGTTTCATTTGAATTTAAAATCATGCCAGCTGTGAATTGTTCTACTTGAATTCGACAGTGAATGAATCTTGAAAAAGCATTACTTGAAAAGAAAAGAAAAAACTGGGAAAGCAAATAATTATTCTAAATATTATGAAAACATTGCATTGTTTTATAATATTGTCTGCCGTTGTTCACTGGTGATATATTTCTTGTGAATCCACCACATAACTAAACTAAATCTATTTAGTCTGCAGCAGAGAGGTTGGAATGTAACACAACTAGCAGATGTCCGTTGAAACAATTCAACGGTAATGTTCCTAAAAAATAGTGATCAATAAATATAAAATGTGCAGTCAACCCAACCCCTTGGATCAGAGAATATATACAATATAATTGTCTAGTGGGTCGTTTACAACTGTATTTTGTCATTTCATGTGTTATTTCAATAAGGAAAATTGCAATGGGTTTCTTTTAAAGCAAAGAAGACTGACTGCAAAAATGTTTGGGTTTCGATACAATGAGTGCATCTAACATAATAAAGCGCTCATGTTCGCTAGATAGCCGCGGTGATCTTTTCTGCTGGGTCCCACCGTTCCTTGTCATTTTACTGAGTGCTAAAAAAAAAGATCGCTACCGAAATGATCGATTTTTGACAGTTTTCATTTCTATAAGAAGTGTTAAAAGGGAAATATTCAATTCAAACCAATTTATTCGACATAGTATAATAAAAGCAAACATGTACATAATACCAACATGAAAAAAAAAAGAATATATAGATATATATACAGATATATGTATAAGTCGAACAGCAACAAACAGATACTCAAACACGTTTCTCTCTTTATGCGTTTTGTCCGTTCAAGCTGTTATCTTCTAAAATATTTCTTTTGATCACTCGACGAAGAAAGTCCCGTTTGTTCGTTTTTCGTTAAATTCCCTTACAAAAAGAAAGATTTTTATTTTTAATTATGTTATTTCAGATTGACTGTTCAGCACCTATGAAGACTAACGGATCGATGTTGATATCTATACGAAATTTTAGGAATAGTTTGTTTTGAATTTCGTTGCGTAAAGCTACACGAGGGTTATCTGCGCTAGCCGTCCTTAATTTAGCAGTGAAAGACTATAGGGATGGCAGCTAGTCATCACCACCCACCGCATGTTTGGTGGAACGGGAATTTGAACCCGCGACCCTCAGATTGCGAGTCAAGCGACTTAACCACCTGTATTTACGATTAATTGTTCAGGAGATACAGATCGTGAAATACAGACATTTGGCTATTATAATGTTACGTCTCTGTGTTCGTTTGTTAATTTTCCGTAAAAATTCTTTCCGAAGAAACTTTAGCGATACAGGTCCTTTCTTAAATAAAACTAGTTTATTCTTTCTCAATACAACTTCGAAATACACTTAATATCCACAGTCACGCTATAATTCACAACGAACGATTCACGCGCTTGACTCAATTGTCCG